TCGCTACTAGCGATTCGCGCGATTCGCTAGCGTCCGCGGTCGCGTTGCGGTACCAGCCAATTGAGTGATTCACTGGCCGCGACGCGACCGCAGACGCTAGCGAATCGCGCGATTCGCAAAGTCTGACATCGGCCTAACGGCCGTAACAGTACTGGTGGATGATTGGTGCGCTCCAGTAACACAGCCGCGTCGCGACTGCCGTTTCGCAGACGCCCATAGGCCCCACGCATAGTCGGTCGTCCGGCAGCAACGATCGTTGCGGTCGTAAGTGTCGCACTTCTGACGATCGATACGCACCTAATACTGTGCGACACTTGCGATCGTTGCTGTCGGACGACCGACTATGCGTGCGGCCCCAGATTTTTACGTAGCATCCCTTCGAGGTGCGGAAGCCCTGGGTCCTGCGGCGAAACCCTTGAACGATTCTTGTAGAATGTCGAGGATGGGGATATGTCCCCAAGGTTGGGGATGTATCCCTAGTTGGGTGAGGGGAGGGATCCCCAAGGTTGGGGATCCCTCCCCTAGTTGGGGCTTGCTGCACCCGGCCCAAGGTCGATGACTGAGATGTGGTGTCCGTAACCTCACACCACACCGCACTACGCATCATTCCACGCAATTGGATCCGTGTTGAACTTTCGTTCTTGTGAGGATCATTCAATGAAAAGTAGTTCCGTTGTTCTTTTTTCTAGGGTGCGTGGTACGGTTTTAGAGAATGCGCAAATTTTCAACATTCGGTTGTTTGCGATTTTTCTTATAGTAAGCTTTTTCCAGATCTTCATGGCTAGGTAGAATACGAAATTAGAGCTTCCGAAGAAGTACTGCTGCTTTTCGAATAATCACTATTTCAAAAGTAGCCTCGTTGTTCAGTTTTTTTTTGTGCTTTCTGATCTCTTTGAGCTACCTTCCTGAAGCGCTGATTTTAAACCCTTAAACGTAAATATGTTTCTTTAAAAGTAGTATATTCAAAAAATATTTAAACTACAAGACTATTTTTTCGTAAAGTGTGCTGAATTTTTCTGAAAAGGTTCAAAACCTTCTGCCAAAACTCTTTATTAGGGCTATAGAAGCAGTACGACGAGTTCGTTGAAGATTCTCAACTTCGAATCTGAATTTGTAAGTATCGTGATTCCTGTGAAAGAAACTCTTTGGTTACTGAAATTGAAGTGTTCTGGCAAGAACCTGTCCTGGGATGCGCCACGTATTTGTCTTTGATTAGCAGTCGCAGTTAAATTTGCAAGTCTGTAATCCTTTGCCACATCGCTATGCCTTGGGATCTCAAATTCTGACTGGCCTTCGAGCTACCCTTTCCCCCACTCCTTTGACCAAACACGGCCTCCCTCTTTGATCTCTGCACAACGGACGGTCGGTCTTGTACAAGCGCCATTCGCGCGTTTAATCAAGGTCACGCACCAGGGAATTCTCTAAACTTCCCATGGAACTTCGAAAGGAAATCATGCGTCGATAGTCTCGAACGTTGACGACAAATGTGGGCACTAAAACTGCTACGTGATCTCTGAGAAAGTATGAGCCTCCAGACTTGACAAACGAATCTGCTGAGCTAACGATTGTCGGTCGTGCGATTTAGTTGAGTGATCTAGTCGTACGATTGAATCAAGCGATTAAGCCGTCCACTATGAGCACGTGGAAAGAAGTGCATTATGTACGCTGGAAGTAAACAAGGCGAACAAAGTTGAAAACTGTTCAATCTCTGAAACAGTGCTTCCTGACTCGCTGTATGTTACAGTCGATATTCGAACGTCGGGTTAAGGCTGATGTCAGAGTCCGCGATGTTCTGGCATGCCACCAGAACCTTCCCACCTAATCTCACCTACGCACTCATCTCAACACCTCACCACTCCTTGAGCACATAAATGTCACTCAAATGATACCACAGGCGCGGCCTCGTTTGAGACTGAGAGGCACGCCCAGAATCCAAGCTAGACAATAAACATTCTACCACTGTATTCCCCCGAACCACAACGATATTACAAGGAGTCCTACACACGCGATCCTTTGCGCGATTTGCGCGGTTTTCGCGATTTTCGCGAAACCTGCGATGGATCGCAGGAGTTGGAAGCAGGGTCAAGCGAGGCGTCGAGGAAAATTTGGAAATACGACCCCCCCCCCCACCCTCCGCCGGAGGCCGAAGTCCATGAAACAACCCTCTTCAAAAGCCGAACTATGAAAAAGTTGTTTAATTCTCCACCAAAACTGCTCATAAAAAAGCCCTGCTACCCCACCGTCCACAAAAAATTCGTTTAAAGAAGTACAAAAGTGAAAAAGTCAAAGAATAATCATTATTGATGAGTCCTACCAAACGAGCAAACGAGAAACAGACCAGAAAACGACAAACTAGCCACTAAAAATGGCATACTATGACAACATCTCTTCTTTATTTATTTCCTCCACAAGACTTACCAAATTCTAGTACTACACAGATTGTGGTTCTCAATTTACACGTCCCCCTTCAGTTGAAAGAAGCTTTTAACCGCCTTCGCCAGCTGTGTGTTGACTGGACTTTGGCGTTGACCGTGGAGCAGCTTATTTACTATTGAAATTTGAACAAATATTCAAATGATTATAACTTTCTTCAAATTGACGAATTTTCAATCTGAAAGCAGATTTGGAGTTTTGTGAAGAGCTTTTTCTAATCAGTATTGAAATTACAAAAAGTTATAAGAAATAACAAATTTAGATCAATTAACGAGGAAAATTCGAGATGAGCACGAGTTTTTACACTTTCCGGAGCAATAACTTGCTTCATTTTCGTCAAATTCGAAAAGTTGATACGTCATACAAAACTAGAAGATTTTCTCTATCAAACGGTTGCTAAAGCAGCTTCATACGTCCAGTATTCAAAAAATGGCCACGTTGAGGATTTTTGCAAAATTAACGAGGAAAATTCGTGATGAGTGCGAGTTTTTTTACTTTCCTAAAGCCATAACTCCGTTCAAACTCATCCAATCCGAAAAGTAAATACGTCATCATAAACTAGAAGATTTGCTCTATCAAATGCTTACTAGAACTGCTCCAAACGTCCAGTATTAAAAAAACGGCTACGTTGAGGATTTTGCACGAGTACCGCCGAAAGGTACTTTTTCGCTACATTGGCACTATTTCAACGGCTGTATATCCTTTTAAGGGCGATTATGTACTAAAGTAAGAGCAGATTTGGAAATCACTGCTTTTCTCTTTCTAAGAAAAGTGATTGATTAGCGTTTCTCAACTTTAAAGGTTACATGTTTATAAATTTAACCCTGAAGAGTCCGTTAACGCAATGTTGAATGGTGTACACCTCCCTGTAAATGCGCACGGACACTTTCAGAATTCTCTCGATTGTTCCTGAATTGAGGTTGTTTGTCCAAGGAGCCGTAGTTGAAGCGCGCGCAACAACTAGACCCTTTCTCGGATGCGCCGTGTACCTCACATCCCTTCAGATTCGGGGTCTTACTTGAAAGATGAAATATCTCTTGGAAAGCGTGCGAAATTCAGATTCTTTAACTTGTGTGGTGATAAAACACTGAAGTAACTAAGAATTACCGGACGCCTCAGAATCACGAAAATTTTGTGTGGGTGAAATATCATTTTCATTGGAAATCCTCTGGCCTGGCATCGACTCATCCTTGATGTTTGTCCTCCGACGGTGATGATCCTACTGCATCAAAATGGCCCGATCTCTTCCCCCAGCGGGCCAATACGACCCCCCCCCCTGCGACGTGTCGAGGATTCCTCAACGCACGCTTGACCCTGGTTGGAAGTGCCCGATGAATACTGCGAGGTGTTGTTTAATCCTGCTGCGAATTCTGCTTGGCAGTAAAGATTGGAAGACGAATGTTTGTGGTTCTACTTGTTTCATGTTCAATGTCTATTAGTTCATTGAAATGCTCTTGAATCGTTCCTATTTTTTTCAGGAATCAAACCAAACCAATCACAAAAATTGCAAGTGCCCCATTTGAACAATTGAAACACTGGATATGAAACAAGTGGAATCATGAGCAGTCTCCATTAACCCTTTGACGACAATGCGGATTTGCACGTAGCGTGCTCGTGGGACCACGCCTCTTTTGGCGCGCCCAACTCTCGCACAAAATGGGGCAAAATTGTCCCTAATAACAGTTTTTCTATCAAAATTTTGACTATGACAATATACAAAATCTCGGATTTTAAAGGATGGTGTTTGAAAACTCAAGAAATTCAAATGTACAGTAGAATTTTTGATATAGTTCAAACTCCTCCTTGTGTCTTAAGACTGTGAAAAGACGTAGAGGTCCTGATCTGTAATTCACCTTAAGCTTAATAATGTAAAACACTAGTTAATACATCGCCGAGCGAAGTGCCATATCCTAAAATTTCATATAAATTAGCTAGTAACAAACATTTCTGCAAAATATGCTAAACATAGGCGTAACGGAGCTTGCTTATAATTACTGATATGTTGAAAATGTTTTAAATGGGTAAAGAAGAAAATTTTAGGGTGGCACCCACCATTGGGTGCCATTGTCCCACGCGACGGTCATAGTGGCACCCACCGGTGGGTGCCATTGTCGCCAAAGGGTTAAACCATAACCATCAAGCAGAAGTGACGGCGGGATTGGAGAACACCTTGCAGTATGATGGGGCACTTGTGATTTCCGTGACCCGTCGCGCAAATCGCGAAAATCGCGCAAATCGCTAAAATTGCGAAGAGCGGATCGCGGACTCTGACACCAGCTTAAATGTGTCATCGGAAGTGACGTGCACTTGATAGAAGTTGTGTGGATAAGCTGTTGCCAGCATGCTTTGCTGATATCCAGCGATGTATGTTGGAAGCAGCTTATCCACATAGCTTCTATCAAGTGCACGTCACTTCCGGTGACACCCTACCCCAACTATCAAATGTACATTACTCTTCGTTTCGGCTCTTTATCCCTTTTTATTTCTCCTGATTTGTTGTACAACATAATAATGCAGTTTATTGGTTCTATCTTTTTTCCTTTAATTCTTTTCCATTAAGGTGGCCGATGTCATCGACGAACGACGCACTTTCCTATTTGGTGGGTCTAGCAAACGCGAAAGCTGCTGCTTCTTCTGGTACTGCGTCAGAGAAATGGGTTGGTTTTATTTCTTTTGAAAGCAGCAAAACTGTTTTAAAATTACACGTAATACATTATGTAGTTGTAGAATCGAGCTTGTTCTTAAAATACGTTGTTTTTGTGTCCTACGGGAAAGCATAGCGGCGGGGCTTCCGCTGTAATGTACTAGTTACGGCAGCGGCAGCGGGCGACCGGTTAAGGGCGACCAGCGCGTAACGTCTTTGCTGCTAATACTCTAATATATTTCATGCAGCGATATTTAACGTGACTTCGCCGGAGGGGATGTATTGTAAATTTCATCTTTGAATAATTGCTAGTACTCGATATGGAGGAACAATTGAGTTTATTGTAGTAGTCAACTTCAACTTAATCGTGCATTGCTTACAGGGTTTTCACATGTAGGCATTGGTTTTCTTTACCTTACTGGTCACGCAACGCACCCGGTACTACTGATTTGGGAGACGTATAAGATGGTAATATGCAAGTATCCCTCTACTATTAAACCAGTGGCAACGGCGCAGGCCATTGCGGGTGTGGTTCGCTAGGACAGCGTCCGCGTTTCGCAGCGTGGAACTTTTTTCGTCGCGAGATCCCCAGGTCTAATCCTGATCATTGGTGGATCTCGTAACAACATCGCTCAATCGGAGCCCTTGATGAGCCTGACCATCGTTTGTGAAGAAATTTTTAAGAGGCTCCTACGCTCTACGGGAGATGACCTCTCCACAACTGAAAGCTTGTGCTCGGTCGAAAAGAGCCACTCTAATAGGCGAAACCGTGTTTGGTAATGGCATTCCATTACTTTTGTCAGAAAACAGGGCTGTCTGCGATGTCTCATGCTTCTGCGTGTTATATATTGTAGATCGCATGGGTCATTCATTCATATTCTCGCGGCAGCATAGAGGGTGACTCGTCTTTCTTGGGGAACAATAGCATACGGACTCACACGAGCACAGTACCAATTTTTCGACTCGGAACGAAGGAAGGTTCGGTTGACCTCAATGAGGTTCGATCTGACAATTAAGCTCCCTACCCATGTGATATGCGGCGCCTACTGCTGTTGTGCCTCTTCTGCCCTATAGCAGAACGAGTGCGGTGTAAGACTTGGCAATTGTCGATCAAAGAAATACTGTCCATTGCCTGCCTCTTATCTTGAAACCTCCGCATTATTTGCTAGGTTGTAGTGTTTACTTCTCTCTCGAGGTTGGTAGGTGGAAATATTTTGGCCAACTTTTCGACCGCCTCGTCGTTGTCAAAGGTTTAAAATGGTTCGAAGGCTTGCGAATCGAACACTACCCCACCGAGCCCCCTCTCCGCTCTAATGTTTCGGACGTTTCGCCAGGAACGCGCAAAACACGCAAAACTCAGAAGATAAGCTCACTTTATTTCCACCGCGAAGTGTAGTGGTCCGCTACACAAATCCAATTTTGATTGAAAGACTCGTGGTACTGTATAAATGGCAAGAGGTCATTTGCAGTTGACACGCACTCGTTTCATTTGTTAATCTCTGGGTTTCTGGCAGAAATCCAGAGCTTCCAACGCTTTTCTCGACGGAATTTTGTCTCGTACAATTGAGCCAATATCGTACAATTGATGTTGAAATAATTACCACCGCCATGCTGTTCTAGTCCGTGTATCCCTAGCGGGGTGCACATTACTGCGCTGTTTGTTAGCTTGATGTTCTTTGACTTTGACAAAATAAGTTTGATGATCTTTTACTTTGACAAAACTTTTCAGTTTCCTACGTTACTAGCTTGATGTTCTTTGACTCGTGCGCGATCTCCATTTTTACCGTTTGGACAACTCAATGGACATTGCGCTTTTGCGGGCGTGATTTTTCAGGGCTTGTAATTTGAAATACATAGGGAAAATTGGAAGGCTTTTGTCAGTGCAATTCAAAGAACATCAAGCTGGTTATTGGCGCATTAGTTATTTATTAGGGGTACCCGTAGAACAGCATGGTGGCAGTGATCTCAACGTCAGATGTACGACATTGGTTCCGAGACAAAGGTTTCGTCGAGAAAAGCTTCAGAAGCGTTCTAAATTTTTGCTAAAAACTCAGAGATGAACATCCGAATCGAGTGTGTGTCATTTACAAATGGCCTCTTGCCATTTATGCAGCATTGCGAGTTTCTTTCATAAGTCGCGAGCGTGCCGTTCCGCAATATGAGTTTTGAGTGTTTTGTGCGTTCCTGGCGGAACGTCAGAAACGCTAGAGCGGATAGGGCGTCCGGTGGGGTAGTGTTCAAATTGCAAGCTTTGAGCCATTTCTAGGGCCTTTGAAAAACGAGACTGTCGGCAAACTAAAATTTCCACCTACCATCCTCGAGGCAGAAGTAAATATTACAACTGCTCAATGGCTTTTCAAGTACACGTGACGCAGCGATCGAGTGTACTCCATTTAGGATTCCCAACACGATCAGCAAAATACGCACGATTCAAGCCTGGCCAATGTGATTTACTTTGACGAAAGATATGACGATGGGATCCCTGTATCGCAAGAGGAGCTCAGTCAGTTTCCGCTTTTGAGGAGCAATTTATGTTTACAGTATGATACGTAGCGTAGTCGAAAGCATTGAATGGGATTGCTCAGGCCTATGACAGTTTTGGATACAGACATAGTGGTGAGTAAATGTACAACAGGTGCTAGCTAGTTGATATCTCAAGGCAGAAATAAGTGATGATCTGAGCTGCCGTTATATAAGGAATCACTCATTTTGATTTCTTTTTTTGCTTTGCACGACCGAGTCGACAGATAACAGACACGAACATAATAAGCGTTGAACTGAGGAAGGGATCAGCTATGTATATTACTAACAAATATGTAACTTCTTAGATTTTTGAATCGTGACCCCATTATCTACAGTTTTGTAACAGCAGGAAAACATGTGAGAAGGTTGGAATTTGATTCAAGGAAGGGCCTTCTGAAATGTTATGCGTGAGCTTCTCACCATAACACATTCATATGCTATACTTCTTGTGAAATTGATGAGCAATGTTGTCATTTGGGATGATAAAGAACATGTCAACAAGCAATAACTTTTCCGTGCTTAGCAGGTGAAGTTGATGGTAATTTCGGATATATTGAGTCATTACAGACTTTTATATATTTGTACTCATTTCATATTTTTGAGCAATCACATTTTTTCTCGCTCAGATGCAGGCTTCATACAAAGTCTTCTTAGTGTGTCCTCGAATTTTTGCTCTTTACAGACCGCCAAAGGCAGATGCAGCGTGAATTAGGGAAGCTACAATTCGTGAACCCAGGTGGATTAATGACGCAGCCGACGAATACTCGTCGTTCGAGACGGAAGATAAATGGTAGGATCACGGTTATCATTTCAAACGTCTCCAAACAATAGTACTCATTGTCGACTGTTAATATCAATGTTTTCTGTATTTAAGCTCGAGCTGTTGCAGAAGATAAAGAGCCAACCCAAGAGAAACGGCACATCTTTCATGATAAGAAAGGGAAGCTTATAGTCCCTGGTGAAGAAAGCATAACATTATGTGATTGCTTGATTCCGGAATGTCACGGTTGCCATTGGCCTTGCGCAAATTGCGGAGGTTGGTTTTTAACATTCTGATACTGATACTTACATCCTTTCTTGAAGGCGCAGAGGCCTTCTATTATTGGGTTGTCCAGTCCCGCAACTCTGAACAAATACAATACCTTAAAAAAACAAAACGCTTTTCAGTTGATTTGGCGTTTAATTAATGTTGTGTGTCTGCGAAGGTTCCATAAGCGTACACGAATGTTTTGTGCAACGTTTTACAGCTCCAAACTTTGCCATCTTTTGATATCTTTCATTTCTTTAACTCCGATAAGGCAACTCTGTTTGTGTAGGTGCAGTGAACATCTGTTCTGTATTAAGGAGATATTCAGCAGATCATGTCTTATGTAGTGTTCCGCTGTCTTTAGGGCTTCGCAACCGCAGATTTGGATCAAAGTAAAGTACTGCTCTAGTCGGTTGTAGGTGATTAATGGTGAGCGTTTAGTCAATTTTCCAGAGCCACAGCCACTAGTCGCGAGTTAGCAACAACGCTGAGGTGCACTCATTGACAGATATCAAGGATCCCCACGATCTCGGTTGACAGGCAGCATGTTCGCAATGGGTACCACATGGGTTGCGCCAGTCTGGGGAGGCGAAGTGTGTGACCATGGTGGAGATTTCTCTTCTTCTTCGCATCAAAGGAATCTCTTGACAAAAATGATGACTAATGAAGATAGCTCAAGCTTTGAGGAAACTGTACACATAAGCTCTATTGGATTCGACGAAGAGAGAAGCTGCCTGCGAGAACCTTTGTGAAGAAGGGTTTTCAGTGTTTCTGATGAGGTTGTAAACTGATTCTTCACAGAAGGCTACTGGATACCTGCACCGCGGTAATGACCATTGTCGGCTCTGACCACCTCTGAAATTCGATCGAAGCCATGCGTAAAGTTCTCCGAGAAAATTTCAATATTGTGTTCCCACCCCTGCATATCCACGTGTGACGAAGGATTACATTTCAAAGGATCATGGATTTGATAGGGAAATTTTGCAGTGCTTGGCTTACTCGTCTGGCTTAGCCGCTTCTAATTATTGGATAATCAGTCCACTGAAGCGTCATCTAGAAGATAGAAAATTCGATGACTGAGGTCAACATGAAAATGGGTTCCATCGCTTCTTTTTGAAGCAATCCTAAAGTGAGAGACTTGAGCTGCCCTGAAAAGTGTACGCCTCCTATATGGTGATGGTGGTAACCTTGCTGGTTGAATATTTCATTCAACAAAACAAGATGCAATTGAAAATTCTGGACAAAGTGTTGCAGGATTTTCTGGACAACCCATTATATGCTCTTTTTGGGTGTAATGATGTTTCTTCTTTCTTTCGAACCTTCCTCTTCGTTTTCGGATGTCATGAGATAGCAATCAGCACCACGCCGAAACTCTGTTCCTAGGTCGTTTATGCGGTCCAGTGTGTCAACAGAATCGCAAGAAATTTGTCTCATGTGTGAAGGTGCTCGGCGTCACTCCTGAAGTAATGGTTAACAATCCTTACGTTAAATTGAATTAAAATCTTATGTGATCTCATTCAACATGCCTGTTTGTAATATTGTTTTATTATGTGGTGATACAATGATTCAAATTTGAATGTATAAAGTGTAAATCAATAATATAATTCTGGTAGCTTTGTTTGGTAAAAGTGTAACGCACATTCCCATCTGTAATTCAGACGATCGATATCTGCATATTAGTTTAGCGTAATGTCGGAGTTCCATGTTTAATCACATCGCCGCTAAGCGGCATCATTTCCGCATGTTTTGTTGCTTCAAAATACGGTTTAGGGTTGATCGCTTTTGAAATGAAATGAGCCAATGAACAAAGTAGTTCATTACAATTTTTTTTTTGCAATTTCCTCCAGTGCTTAAAAAATCTCATGTTGATCTTATTTCTTGACAGCAACGGTGTTTTATGTCTTCTCTAATTTGTGATCCTATCATTAGTTCAAAAAAAAACATCAAGAAGCCAGCTTCTCCCTGTCATCCGACAAGGTGATTGCTGTTGTCTTTTGGCCATTGATCCAACCTTTGGGTGACGCTTCGTACGATCTTCCTATTCCAGATGAAGGGTGTGACTGAATAAGATTCATAATCCCCATTGGTCCCTGAAAAGAATTGTTAATTTCCTAACATTCGCTTTTGTTATGGCTCTATTTTCGAATTTTGCATGAGCTCGAGAATGTTTCAGTGTTTCGTTCATTTCTTAGCACACTTCTATTTGTGTTTTTAAACGGCTCTTTAAATCGCTGCTTGTAGGAAGGGGTTACGACAAATCCTTTGAGGACGGTCAGGAGCTTACCTAGTGGGTTGTGTAAGGGTCCTACCTAATAAGAGGGTAGGTAACGTCTCACCAGGAAGGTCTTTCAGGGCGTGCCAAGCTTTTTGAAAACGGTCTTTTGCATGATATAGGGGCACATGCGGGAACCACAGAACCATGGTTCATTTTTCCTGAACGGCCCTCTGAATACCAGAAAAGGGGGTCCCTAGTTCGATTCCTCGTGGTGACAAATTTTTGCATTTCGAGTTGACGTTCCAAAATTCGCGCAAAATGGAGTTAGCATGAATAATTAGTACCATATTCATGATTAGGACCGTCAGTAACCCTTACAAAAGACTTTGACTTAAAAACTGGTGTAAGAGGTGTGACACCAAGCAGCCCCACTGTGGTGTCACACCTTTTTCACCAGTTTTTTAATCAAAGTCTATTTGTAAGGGTTACTGACGGTCCTAATCATGAATATGGTACTAATTATTCATGCTAACTCCATTTTGCGCGAATTTTGAAACGTCAACTCGAAATGCAAAAATTTGTCACGAGGAATCGAACTAGGGACCCCCTTTTCTGGTATTCAGAGGGCCGTTCAGGAAAAATTGAACCATGGTTCTGTGGTTCCCGCATGTGCCCCTATATCATGCAAAAGACCGTTTTCAAAAAGCTTGGCACGCCCTGAAAGACCTTCCTGGTCAGGGGAACTAGCGTATCAACGACGTGATAAGGCATCGAAACCCAGTTCCGATTAGCAACTACGGCCCGTATGCTATGCTTCCCCGAAGCTAAGTGATCCAAAGTTTCCTTTAAATTTATTTGTTTTGAACGATATAGTTTCTTCATTTTCAGTGCATGTTTACTTTTACCTACATACATACATTAAATGTAGGCCCTTTATCAGGGCAATCCCAGTTGGGAAGACAGAGAAAATTTAAAGGATTTTCGTCCCCCAACCCCTTCGGGGAAGGATAGCATACGGCCCTACATCTAAGTATCGGACGTGGAAGGAGTTGCAAGGGCAGCATTTGAGATATGATACCGTTATCGTTATCGCCGGTTTTCATTCTGGAGTGCACCTCATTCCAAGCAGCCGTATCTTCTTATCTCATCGTATCGTATCTTCCATGGGGTTACGCTCGTCCAACCATTATTTATCTCAGATCTTGTCGCTTGATAAGCGTAGTAGGCAGCTCCATCTGAAAGCCAGCGGGACGGCTTCCCTTCAGTGGGGTCGGTTTGCATGACCACTTCGATATCCACGTTTCTAACCCTATCCAGTCGCGTGGAGCAACGGGAACATTTTGATTAATTTCGGCGGAAGGAAGCTCTTGCCTTGTCTAGACCAGCATTTGCTACTATGGAGCATCATGGGTCTCACGAACATCCAGTGCCTTTCCTTTGAACGTCTTGAGGCACTGCGATCCAGAATATCAGTGGATCCCCTCCATTCTACGTCCATTTTGATCTTTACTGCCTGGTCCATGCCACTCTTAGCAAATTCCTGCGAGTGAGCTATCGAAAAACCGCCACTCTTTTGATGCGTTTACCATAGCGGTCCAAGATCCACTGTGCACCCTCTTCAGAGCTCAGGCCATTGATTTTCATTCTTCACGTTCATGCGCAGCCGCGCTTTTTCCATTTTGCACTTTATTCTGGAAATGTGCTCTGCTCTCCTGTCAGGCCGATACGCCAGCAAAGAAGTGTCGCGAGTGGGAACCCTATGAGACATTTCTCCATGGCGTCCAGCTCTATGTATCTAGAGGGGACACGTGTTCGAGAACATTAGGCCGATGTCACAGTCAGCGAATCGCTGGATCCGAGCGTTGCGCCAGCGAATCGAACTTTGCACAGCGAGACGAACGATGTACAGCGACTCAGTAGTGGCGGGATCCAACGTTCAAAGGAAGCCCGCCACTTTCAAACAGTGTCACGTGACAGTGGACCTTTTGAAAGTGGCAGGACCTTGACAGTGACACTGTGAAAGTGGCGAACTTCCTTTAACGTTGGGTCCCGCCACTACTGAGTCGCTGGTACATCGTTCGACTCGCTGGCACATAGTTCGACTCGCTGGTGCAACGTTCGATTTGCTGGCGCAACGCTCTGAACCAGCGACTTCGCAAACTATGACATCGGCCTTACGTTCTCTTGCAGCCCTGCAAAGCACTAGTCGAGATAGACGTTTGGGCGCCTCCTCCACGTTGAGAAAGGCTAGGTAGCTGCGTCAGCGCTTTCCCATGATGCTCCATCACTGTATAACGATGAAGATGACATCCGTTGCCTAGCTTCGCTTGGAAACCTGAAGAACTGTTCCTACGAGATCGGGCAAGTTCTCTCAGCTTGTGTCGCTCGTGCACTTTCACCGTATGCACAACCAGCTTGATGCTGCTATAGTTGGCCCATTCCATTGCTTCCCTCTCCTGTCTGGAAGCACAGGGTGATGGTAACTTGATTTAAGGTATTCGTATGTCCTACAGTTAAAGGACGAGTATCATATGTATATTCGGTGCTTCCATAGCGTGTTCCATGCCTCCAGTTACCAGGGTGAAAATCGTGTCGAGGAAATAACCGCCTCTTTACGACCCCCCTCCAAAACATACTCTGATACGACCCCTTTTTGTCCTCTGCACATCCGGTTTCATATAAAAAAATGCTAGTTTCAGATGTGCGAGAGGGACGCAGCGCCACTGCCACGCAAATGCTAGATTCAATTCTGCTCAGATTAGGTTCTCCTTCCTTCCTTTAAAGACATTTAACCTTTGCCACATTGGCCGGAAAGTAGAACATTGAAGGAGGTACTGCCCCTACACAGTTGAACAGTCTCGCGCTCCAGTATAGCGGCGCTAACTACCCGCGATCGCGTCGCGCGCTGTGCCTAGAGCGCGCTAGTTGGAAAAATCGTCAAATGTACCCCCTAAAGGACTATAACTTAAACCATTTCAAAAAGTGAAGGCAGCTTGAATGAATGCAAAGACTTCTAGTTTCTAAATTGTGCTGAGCGTTTTTCTAAGCACACCTATTCTCGAGAGTGGGAGACGTCGAGAAATTGTCGAGGAAATTGAAATTTACATGCGAGTTCCCACTCTTAGGAAGACAGTAGCTGTCTTCATTGGCAATGCTTTGAAAATCCGAGGAAAGCGTTGTAAAGTAGAAGATTCACGCTTTCTAACAGGTGCTCCATTTGTTTTGAACGCTTTCTAGTTCGCGAGAAATCTGCGTCGAGGAAATGTCAAGGAAATTTTCGAAGCCACTCGAAAACTCGATTACTCCCTCGCCGTAGTAGAGGACTTCTTCGAACACATCAAAAACTGTCTATACCACGTCAGTTGATGGAGTAATGAAAAGATCACCCTGCGCGATCCATCCTTCTCTGTATGCCCACCAGTGACCGCTACTGATCATTGGAGTGGTTTGTGTTGCGGGTGACTGAGAGACTTCGGGTTATGTTGGACCCTTTAATGTCACCTTGCGGTGGTTCAGTGGATTTGATGTGAATGAGGAACTATGTACAGAGAGAAGAGTTGAACGCCTTTATTGTATGGCTGCAAGAGAAGGTATATGTTGTAGTATCTGTTCAAGGCTTATACAGTATGGGCACGCCCCCACCAGACGTGAGGTCGTGAGGGAGTCATCGCCAGCGATGCGCAGGCGATGACAGTTTGTCTTAGTGACGACTTCCTTAAGCACACCAAAAGATATTTCCAGTATTAACTAATTAGGATGACTCTTGTGGTCATAGTGATGTCTGATCATTCCTTTATTCAAATCGCTTCCTTTCCAACCCGTTCTGATGAATGACAGCTTGCGGTTGCAGGATCTGATGATGCCAAGAAGGCTGCGAATCTGCCTGTTTTGAACTTTCTACCAAGATGCTGTTCCTCCACTAAGTTCTCGAAGCATGTACATCATTCTAGAGTAGATACTCGCTGCCCTTTCCCTACGATTCTTTTGCAGGACGCGTTGCCTTCCTATGCCATACTGATCACTACGAACCAAACCAACACACACTTTCCATTTGAATTTTAATTCCAGACAGGTGTGAGATATTATTTGCATTAGGCTAACTACAACACTTGTGAAAGTAATGATGACAGCAAATAAGTGGCAGCAGCACCGTTGTGTCCGTTGATGACCCTTTTGATTACGACCCCCTCCCAACTCTCATCGGAGCAAATACGACCCCCTGCGAGGATTTCCTCGACCGTTATTCACCCTGCCAGGTACCCATCTGGACCAGCCGCCTTCCCA